TTTGAAATTTGAATTCAAAGACATTTCAAGACTCCCAACACAACAGCAGGAAACAAACTTTCATAGGCTGTTGAATCAAGTTGCACATTTAACTTCAAAACTATGCATTCGAAAAAGTTCTTCTTCCTATAAAATATACACATTAAATTTTGTTCAAGTTCCCAGCAAATGGACCAAAGAACAAAGGAATAGAATTTAATTATAGACTAAAGTGGGAGACATGTGCTGTTTGGCTGTAAAGTGAAACCAGTTATCCTATGGTATTATTCCTTTTTTTTTTTTTTAATGTGATGATATTGTCACACCATTAATTATTAATGTCACACTTTTAATTATTAAAGTCACATTTTTTTATTTTAATTGATTATTATATCCATTAATTTATTAAGAAATAAAAAAATATAAGATTTTGGAAAAATGTGTAATGTAAGGATATAATAGGTAATTACATTAAAATGATGTGACATTAACTATTTAGAGTGCGACAATGATCCCAACTTTTTTAAGGCATTTATTTAAAGTGAATAGTACATTGGTAAAAAAAAAAGAATTAAGGGTGCATTTATTTTATATTTTTACCATTAATTTACATAGAAAATATAAAAATTAACTTTAGCTTTGTCAACCATAAATCATTTTAAAAGGCATTAATGTTGAAAATAAAGTTTACTTTAATAATTTTTTATACCATCAGTGAAAAAAGTGTAATAAAGGTACAGATTAGAAAAACTAAAAAAATACATAATATTAAACAACTAGAGTATGTACATTTTTTCATGGAGAGATAAGTATCCCTCTATCAATCATCATAACACTACTTATATCGCAGGGATTGAGCGTAAAATAGAACCCTTTTTAGCTGAGTTCTTAACAATTCTTCTTCAAATATATACTACCTTGCTTAAGAAACACTATCTACATTTTTCCTTGAAAGGATTCTTGCTTAGACATACTTGGAGAGGGACAAAGTTGATCATGGCAGGAGAAATTGAATCCATGGCATCTAACATGAGGAGCAAGATGAGGGGTGATACTAAAAGTTCATCCACACCTTCCATCTTCAGGATTCCCAGCATACTTCGCAGGCACAATAAGGAAGCATACATCCCCAACGCGTTTTCGATTGGGCCTTTTCACCATGGCGAGAAACATCTTGAAGACAAAGAGAAGATCAAGTTTGACTACTTACAAGGCCTTATAGACAGAAATGGTGATCCGGAGGCAACACTGATGAAATGCATCACAGAGATCACAAATTATGAAACAAAAGCCCGAGAGTGCTATGCAGAAGAAATTCTTATGAGCAAACAGGCGTTCATTGAAATGTTGGTGCTTGATGGCTGCTTCATTGTTGAACTGTTCAGGAAGGATGCTGCTGAGGTTAGGAAAAGTAAAAATGATCCCATTTTCTCTACTTCCTGTATGCTTCAGTTCTTACACCATGACTTGATTTTGCTAGAAAATCAAATACCCTGGTTTGTGCTTGAGCGTCTGTTTTGGTCAACAAGAGGTTCGTCTGAAACCAAGTCTTTACTACAACTTGCCTTGGATTTCTTCGACAACATTTTCTCATCTGAGAAATCTCCTATACAACTAGATCTCTTCACCAATCAAGAAATCCAACACATTCTTGATTTGTTAAGAAGTTCTTTGGTGTTGCCACTTGGACAGCAGCAAGGCCAAGAAGAGTCATCTATATCATGGCATCCTATTCCTTCTGCCACCAGCATCAAAGAATCTGGAATCAGTTTCAGGAAAGTGAGATCACCAAGCATCTTGGATGTCAAATTCAGGAGAGGCATTCTGGAAATGCCATCAATTCTCATCCAAGAAACCGTTGAACCTGCGTTTCGAAATCTGATCAGCTACGAGCAATGTTATCCAAACTGTTCTCCCAGAGTTACATGCTATGCTATACTCGTGGACAACCTTATCAACAATGAAGAGGACATGGAAGAACTCAGCAAGAGTGGGATTCTTGTCAACTGGCTCAACCCACATGACACGACACAGTTCTTTAAGATGCTATACCATGATGCTTTTTTGAAAGAGTTTCATTACCAGAAGCTTTGCTGGGAAGTGAATGAATATCAGCAGAAATTGTGGCCTAAATGGCGAGCTTTTTATACCCACAATTATTTTGCGATGCCGTGGGCCATTGTTTCTCAGATTGTTGCTGCTATCCTTCTCGTCCTAGCTTTCTTGCAAACCATTTATTCCATGAAGTGATCAATACTTGTTTTAATACATCATGTTAGAGACAAACAAAAGTTGTCATGAGTTAGTGATATGTAATATTCGTGATATGGGGACTCTGTACTTTCAATGAATCTCTTATGAGGAATTTGGTTAAAATATAAAGTTTTCTCAATCTCACACCTAGGCATTTTGTCACACACCATGCAAGCAACATAAACTTTACTAAAGCTCACAACAATGCTGGGAAATTGCCTCAACCGATTTACTAAATCAAACATCACCAATCTTAGTTTCCATGGTACCCATCAGCTACACGGATGTAGTCACTGATTCAACTTTTAGCATTAAGGGGAAGATGGGTTTACCATGATCACTTTTGGGTTCCATCTTATATCAATTTCTCGTGTGCTCACTTGTAGGCATATTAAATACTTATGGAAACAATAGAATGTTAGATATCTATATAAAATAAATAAATAAATCCTAAGTTACTGTTGTAAATTTTAATTAAAAATTGATTTGCAAATTTAAGGTGCATGCGTCTCTCAAAAAAAAAAGAAAAAGAAATGTTTATTGCAACTGTTTATATATTTTCAAATTCATTCTGTAATGATTTTGATTTAATTAGCCATTCAAATTATTGTTTATATTTTGATTATAGTTTGAAAGTTTATAAATAGGCAATTCTCCATCTGTGTTATTCACTGTTATATAAAAAAACTACACTGCACTCTTATTTTTTATTGGGCAAAGAAAGGTAGTGGTGTGGAGCTTGTTTTAATTACAAGGGTGCAGTACTTAAAAAAGCCACAATAGAGAATGTTGGACTGTTGTATCTTGAGTGACATGATCATGTAAAACTGTTGCACTAGTGGCACAAAACATTTTTAAAAAAATGATTAATTAATGTCCCAACCCACCATTTTTCATCTTTGTGAATATTATTTAATATTATTTTTTCTCTTATTTACTTTAGTTTAGTACTATTTTCTCATATTTTCTATGGTGAGGAACAATGCTGATATGCTGGAATGTAAAGAAGGAAGCCAAGAAACAACAATGATATGTAGCAGATATGAAGATTAAAGTTCAAGGAACAACAGTTACATGCATCAAGCCTTAGATACCATTCTAGTCATAGCTCATACCTGAACAGAGCAGCATGATTTGAATGAGATCTCTTAGGAATTTTTTATTTAAATTGTTGGATTTTCCCCTTAAAAACAGTAATATCATGTATAAGTTGTTGAAGAATGAAGCAAAGAATAAAGGACTGAAATCTCAGTTCCAAGGTGGGAAAGGAATTATATGCTTTTTGGGCTTTCTGGGTGGAAAGTGAAATCAGTTAACATTATATATACTTCTATTCACATTTCTATTTTAAATCAAAAGGCAGAACCAATCATGCATAATTTAAGATCTCAAGGGGAGAATACACTTTTGTTGTATGGCTAAGATTTAAAAAATAAAAAAATAAAAGTGAAGGATTAAACAGAATTTGGAATCCATTTTTTTTGAATTGGAAATAAATGAAAATAATCATCAGTTCATCACCGTGGATCTATATCTGCATATATGCATTCTCTTGTGCATGCTGTAAACCAAAACCGAAACACATCCTTAATGTCTAGTCTAGATGTTTATGGCGAATTATTGTCCCGGCAGCCCTAAACCCTTCAACCCTTTACCATAACCATAAATGTTACATCAATCTGTATGAGATTAATGGGCCCAGCCCATGAGAACCTGGCTCAAACCCAAGGATTCTTAAGGAATATTTCAAGTAATTGATTTGCTTGGAAAATACTCTCCACTCATTCTCTCTCATCACGCACACTCTCTTCTTTTCTTGCAGACTCAGTCCTTCGTCGAGCTCTTCATTCACATACACAGAGGAAACAGTTTTCTCTCCATGGATCCATATCTTATGTTGAGCGTTGGAGTGCCAAGTTGGAGACCAACTCCAATCTCCAGCTAAAGTTCTAACGCTTTCCTGTTTTGCGGGTTTCCAGTGTCTACCTAAGTGCAACCTTCAGCCGAGAATCCTGCCTGCCATTTTTTGTTGACAAAACAATAAGACTCTCAAGTGAACGGAAGTTACCTCCAACAACTGCTGCCCTATCCTGTAAACACTCAGCCACCGCAGGCTGCCGATCCAAATCAACATCATATATATATGTCCAATTATTACATGCAGAAAAGTCATTTCCTGCATTATGATTTCAACGAAGATCGGTGCCTTAGCATCAACGAGGTGATGGCAGCATTCGCAGCCCTGGGTGCACGTTCCCCTGGGCTGAGAGCCAGGTTGGTGCTAGAGGAAGTTGATGTGAATGGTGATGGTAGCATAACTGCATAAGCATAAGGACTCCGGATGAGTCGAATGTCCTCATTGGCTACACTATAAATTTGTTGAAGTCCATGTTATAATATACAATCAGAAAAATATAAGTACTTCTTGGAATAAAGTCAACTACAGAGAGCTAAGTTAGCTCTAAATTGAATTAGCTGACTTTCACCGTCTTCTGCTAAATACGGGCCGAACCAAAAAGGCGTAAATGTTGAGCAACATGTTAAACATTCGTGTGCTTTTAATTAAGGGGGTCAAGTCAGGAATTTGATTCAACAGAATGCATTGGAATCCTCTTTTCTTAATTACTCAAAAATATGATCAATCATTTGGAAGCTCTGTATAAAACACCTGTTGCCTCTCTCTCTATATGCTTACAAGTCAAACGCTTCAATTTGTAGCCATGAGTCCATGAGTCCATGACTGGTGTTCAGATTAATCCCAATAGTGAAGGCAGCTATCCTCTCACACCTCCTGCGGAACAGTTCCCTTTGCGCAACACAAAAACAGCAGGAGTAGCAAGTTTTATGATATCTCCTCAATACTACTGCAAGAGCATTGCTTTTTTACTTTTAAAAAAATGGAAATTGGGGAATGGGGTATAAATTGGGAGTGGAACTGTGGAGCCATAACTGATGTTATGGACTAAATGCACCTTAACTAGGTGCACCGGGAGAAAATGCACTGGGAGAAAGTACCAAGAAATTGCAACAAGCATGCAGAAGCTACTCTGCAACACCACCTACTACAGTAGGCCGGT